CTACTAATAAGGAAGCCATGAGGATGTCTGATGCATACATAGTGGATGGTGACTAACTGGCAACGGAATCCAGCACGCGTGATTCGCTCTGCTTGGGACTCATCATCTGAATAAACCCAAAAATAACCGGTGAGTAATCCCGTTTCTAGTAAGACTTAAACTCAGGCCTAAGTGGATTAGTGCATGACTCTGGTGCTTGAAATAACAGGTGTTGGGTTAGAGACTTAGTGTGTAGAGCATCACTCACTGGGGACTGCAGGTACATTCAGTTGACGAGTCCCAAATAGGATAAGATGCGCATTCTGTACTCTACTGCCAGTCATCATCCACTAAATAACATTACTGTTTATTTTCAAATACTGTGTTGCGAGATTTCGGTTTATTTCCGTGTATATTGTGACACAAATCCAGAGCAGACAGAAGGAATATTGGAAAGGAAAGAGTTTTCGACATATTTCCCACTCCAATTTGATCAATTTCGGGATCTTGAACTCACAAAAATGTAGATGATATTTCCGAGAACTGTACAGTGACTAGGAGAACATAACTCGGTAACTAGATGGGAATTCAATGGTTTCCATTTTCTGTTGACTTGCAACACAATATAATTACCCCCCAGTGTCATAGTCAAATAACTCTCTTACTATACAACCGAATGGATCTCACTGTCGAAGTGTTTTCATTAGAAATTCAGTGACGCCAGAAAGAAAAAGAATAGTACCCTCAAGGTGCTGTTCTCTCTTCTCCTCCTTTTTCTTTCTTCTGAAATGATTTGTCTCTTTCTGAAAAACCAACTTCATTAAATACACTGATCTGACTGACTTGTCGACAATTACTTCCCTATCTGACTGTTCCAAATTGGATAGCTTTTTGTCAGACACCAGCCAGTGGTCTGAGTTTAATTCCTCCAAATGCCAGACAGTTAACTTCTTCTTCAGTCACAAACGCAGTCTGCATGAACTTGTTGGTTCACATGATGCTTGGAGCATAGAGGGCATTGAAACAGAAACTAAGTCGAGCATTAAATACTTTGGAATAGTTCTTTCCTCTGACCTATCTTGGTCACTCCACATCTTTGTGGTTTCTAAGAAAATGTTTCTTCTAATCTTCTACATGAAGAAGTTGAGATAATCAGGAATCACTCAACCTCTACTTTTACAATTCGTTAACTCTTTCACCTTACCTCTTGTTGTTTATGGCACCCCCTTAATCTTTCCTGGACTACTTAAAGAGGAATATGCCATAATGCGAAGGGTATTAAAGACTGTCAGTAGGGTAGGTGGTGTGCCATTAAGTCAGCTCGCTACTACTGCAGTCGACAGAAACCTGTACTGATGCGAGAAATGGGCTAAATTCATACTATCTAACTCTCAGCACCTTTTTTATTCACAACTTTCCCCTTGCATTTCATTAGGTAGGACTGGAAGTTATTATAAAAGATTATATGCTAGCACAAACAAGTACAGAAATTCAACGATACCCTATTCGGCCGGCATTCTGTGTGAATGTTATGCGTGGAACTTATAACATACTATGTAATTAGAAAAACAAATGGCTCTCTGGTGTTCTCGTATTTGTATTCACGGTGACACTAATCCAATTATCTTATAATTTTAGTTATTAATATTGTTATTATCACTTATACCTTTTGTGAATTTTTCAAATATTGTCACAGCTAATCCTGACAAAGTTGACATTATCAATTTTGGTTACCTATAACATGGAACATTTTGTTATTGTTGTTAAGTAAACTGGATGCAATACTGTAGCATATGCTGAAAATTCCACGCTGTACCATGAACAGTGTTTTGGAATAAACCAAATGATCATTATGTCCAATCTCCTCATCTTACAAGTTAAACGTTCAGGACCTGATTCCTCAAAGAACTATAAGTCCAGAACATAGAATAGCCTCAATTTAGGGCGAAATAACTGTTTCTTGGTCGTTTGTCAGCTTTTCGATTTTCAATGTCAAGTTTCTCCTCGGTGTACTGGTATGATATATGGCGAATTAGACTGTTACACAATAATATCAAGTAACTTTGTTGAAAATGTCTGTTTACTTCGTCCACTGATTACTTCTGTTTGAAACACCTAATTATACTACTAATGATGATTTATGCTGTCACGTAGACATACCACACACAAATAATCAGAATAAGTTGTTTCATCATTGTCTATGAGTAAATCCATATGTGAATGAGTGAGGCGGAGGAAATGCTCTCCATACAGTCATGGTCTAGTATCCACCTTCTGATATTTTCGTGAAAGGTACCAAGGAAGAACATTTGTATTCAGTATTCAGAGGAGGTGCATATTTACGTTAGGTATTGTTATCTCCACGTCATAGTCCACTCAGTCATATCAATTACTGTCACTTCAGTATATGTTAATCGAAATATCTGAATTTCTTTTAGTTTCAGTAAACTCAGACAAGTTCATCGTTCATCTCCAAACCTTATATTTATTTCTATAAGTCTCAGTTAACTGAAAACGCAAAAAAATGTCATCCTGTACATATAAGACATACTTACTTGACCTCAAAATAGTTTTTATTCCTATTTTACCATGAACCATTAAAATTTCAAATTGGGAAATTTTATGGAGAATTGCTTGGCTAAATAACTGTATGATAAAAACTATCAACAGTTCGATATTAGACCACCAGATTCAAACAGGCCATAAGGCTAATACTGAAGAATCTACTCCAGTCATTCATAGACTATCGAATGCATCGGTGGCACAGTGGTAGAATGCTCGTCAACCAAGCATGTGGTTCGGGGTTTGATCCCCGGCCGATGCACTCCTAAACCTCTCTAAGCCAGTAACAAGACTGGTAAAGAGGGAAGGTTTGGTATGAAGCTAGCAACCCCATCCCGTAAAAATAAACATCACCACTACCGAAACTTCAAAACTGAAGCTTGAAGCCCTATGTTCCACTGGAAACGTAAAGGAATAAAAAAAGTTGGGTATCAAATAATTGCCAAAATCATCTTGGCACCAAATACAATAAACAGAAGCCACGGAAATCCGCATTAAACAACCAGAGCTCTGTGTGCAAAAGATACAGGTTCAGCCATTAATGCTACCCTGGCCTGCTGTGTAAACTATAAATTCATAAACGCTACCACTTTTTTCTTGATTTATCTTATATTCAATTTAGTGTTTTAATTTATGCATATATTATTTTGCTTCCAAACTGTAATCTGTTGATCTTAATAACTGGATATTATTTAAAAATGTAATGTTGTTAATAACAATAATTCTTCAACTATGATGGATATATAATTGCAGAACCTGATGAAGAAATTATTTAAAAGAATATTCCTTGTTCAAAAACTCAGTTATCGAAATACATAATACTTAAATTTCAGAGTATTCTGTATAATTCAGCAAAATGTTGAATTTATCCGAAGTTTAGGAATTTTTGAATGGTATGCATTATTCTCCCAGTGAACTCGATTTTACCATTTCACAAATGAAAAAAAAAATCAAAAACGTAGTTCTATTAGGAATTCAGAAGTACAGGAAAATACAGAGAATGTTTGTTTTCCTTGAGAATAAAAGCAATACGAGATATTTACTTTAATTTTGCGAAACAACGGTGAAAATAAGATTTCTTCGACTGAATACTATATCATGCAACCAGTTCCTCATGTGATGCAGACTGAATTCTATCAGTCAAGTTTGGAATGTGGTCACCATGCCGAATGGCTTATTATCATGGTGCATGACATTGGTTACTATTTAGTGTCCAATCAAAGTACCCACTACAGTCCTACAGAAAGTCGTTTGCGAACCTGAATAGGTGAGTGGTAAAGTCACTGACTTCAGCACTGGGTCACTCTGGTTCGAGTCTCAGAAGGAAAATGAGTTCCTTCGAGATTGTAGATACGCTTTGCTGACGACGGCTAACAAGCGCGAAACCTAAGTTTAAGACTTCCTGCTAACTGCCTCCAACTATCTAACGAAAAAATAAAGTTTCATTTGAAAGTACTGAACCTTAAGTTAAAAATATGGAAATAAAATCAACTGGAAGGACAACTTTAAAATAATTTCGGGAATAACCGAGGAAGAGGGAGTACTAATATGAGTATAACAAAGAATAACGATATAAGCAGTAGACACTTCTTATCATTTCGTTTATCTTCCAATCAAATACTAGTTTCCATCATCTTTCTAACTTCTTTACCTACAACCACAATGAAAGTCTTCTGACTCTATCATACCATCTAGTATAATCTAACATGTGAACACGGGTGCTAAATACTACTTATTGATTTGTATGAATAGTTTGATACCACTCACGGAAACTAGTAGTGCGTGATAAACAAACAGAATGGCTGTTTCGCGCGATTTGGGCAAACTCATCAGCGATGTATCCGGTTTGACTCAGCTCACAGAGCTGAATTAGTTCATTCCACCTGAATTCTCAGAAGCTATTTGAGTGAACTTGCCACACAGTGGATTCAGTTTGCAAAGGAAACTGCGCTGAAATTTCACGCTAAACTGTGTTAATTGCAAATTGCGAACTAGATTTGTGAATTTAATACAAACGCATAAATAGTTTTTCAACAAGAGAACAGAAGTACAATATCAAATGTTACCAAACAGTTACTTAAAACTGTTTCTTTTCTAACAGATTACTGAACTGCAGACTACTCGCTATGGTACAGAGTGAACCGAAATAGTTTATATTTATTTATGTTCACGTCACAATACTTTATGAATGATGTTATCTGACTGATGGTGACTGACGGTTGAATTCAGGACGCGTGTTCCGTCCTAGTCGGGAGTCCTTAGCTGGATGTGCCTGCAAGCTAAATGAACCATAGTATTCTCAATGAAACCCAAACCCAATATGTATGGTTTCAAAAATTATAGCGCCAACCACTAGGTCAGTGAGCCACTTTATGTTATGAATATTTTTGATGATGATAGTCATTCGTTGAAATAAAAGCACAGAATTTACAAAACTACACTTATAATTGTGAACTTACTTGTCCAGAACAGTTGACTAGGATATCGTTAGAAACAGATGAATCTTCAGGAGAAGGCAACCAACCATATATCTGAAAGGTGTTTTTCGAAAGAGAAAATACACAGAACATTACACTGCTACACAATTCAATGATAATAATAATAATGGATTACGAAGTAAGACTTTTAATGAAAAATGTAGAGTGTTTAAATACAGCGATTTACGGACAGTTTTGAGTAGTACCACCAAGAATCTACAATCAACAACTTCATGCATTTCTATAGACCTATGAAAGTACCCTATACCTGGCTATACACAGTTCAGAATACCAGTCAATAATTCTACAGACTGGTATCCACTTTTCTTTTAACCATAGAGTTAGTTTTCTTGTAGCTTATTTTGCATTAGTTATCATCAAACACTGAGATACACAAAAGTGAAATATGAGCAATATATGCATCGCATCTATATTATTTCCTAAGCAGCTTCTTAAGTCAGAAAAGAGATGTCTTTTCATAGCTTCACTTCAAAGCTGTACAGTTATTTAGGGGATTTATGTATATACGATGATAACAGACTTCAGGAGTTATTGTCAGTTAGTAAAAAAATAAATCAAAGTATATGAGTGTGTGTGAGAAATAGTGAATAATCTTACGTAACAAAGAGGTGTGACAATAAATAATTAATTAAGTGGCAAATAATAATTTGGAAATCACTGATGAGAAACAAGAGAACTAAATATCGAAAATGGGTTCCAAAAAACTGAAAGGACTACTTAGGGTTTATTTTGCAAACATTCAGGAAAACGAAATGGACACCAAGGCCACAGTGTTAAAAGAAGCTAGACAAAACGTCTCTGAACACAAAGTTCAGTTCAGTCCTTATGAATTGCTAAAGCTTCGCCTATATGAAGAAGACGTAGGCGAAATCCTTCTGAACGAATACATACACTTCCTAAATAACTGTACAGCTTTGATGTGAAGTTATGGGAATGGATATCTTCGCTGACTTATGCGTTCTTAATTACTTGACATGGGAATTTTTCATACCTACCCATTTTTGTAATTTCATGCTTTAACTTGTACTCATTCGCCTTAAACTATACACTTAAATTCAATACAACCTACTAACCATTTCCAGAAGACACGACAAGTAATATATAAAACAACTTGATGTTAAAACACAAACAATCATTTCATCTTAGAATCACTTCTTGATAAATATTTAAATACCTCTCTGTTCTTATAGACAAGATAGACTGATAAATACGGGAAATGAGACTTTTATATCCATGCTGAGATTCTCTCAGCAATCATTGAATTAATTATTGATTAAATCTTCAAAGAGAAAACACAGAGGGAGAAATTCGTTGATTCTGAATCCCATCATTCTCTCAATGACCACGAACTGATGTCATTTAAGGAACCGTTGAGAACTAGAGAATAGAATTGCCTTGCTTAAGTTTGGGACCCCTCAGAAGTACTCAACAAAGACCTAGGTGTTAAGTATCAAAGGGATGCTAACCGATGGCAGTAAATGGAGGTAATACTTTATCGCAAATCGAAATAAGTTGTTAGCATCTTCGTTTCATGGAACTATCGTCCGGTTATTCGAGGTCAGCTAACAAATTTTTCATTTCTTGTGAAATCGAAAGAGATGAAAATCCTTTTAATGGAAATTATGACAATAAACCCCGGGATATAGATCACTCAGAATAAACATTTCCGTCTGATCAGTTGATTGGCCAACGGAATGACCTCGTAACCTGAAGTTCGTGGATTCGTACTGCCGAAGAGCCCCAAACTAGGACGAAACACCTCTGCAGTACTCCATTGTTTTTTAATGGTTCTATAACTGATATCAATCCGTGAACAAACTTGAAACAAACTAAATACCTATAAACTAACTCTTGAAAAAAGTGTTAACATTAAACAAAATCTCCTAAATTGTCATCCCCACAATCCTATGTTTCAACGATATAACAGTGAATGAAAAAAGTTATAAGCTCTTATAAGCACAAAAATAATCATAGCTGTTATGAATTGCTCATTAGATTTCATAAATACGGCGCTTCAACTTATGCGTGAAACATTTTACAAATTATCATGATAAATATTTTCTGTTTCTTATCCAGATCAATATACATACATATATATATATATATATATATATATATATATATATATATGCGATGGTACTATCCACATGCGTAAAAATTGGCAATCCTCTCTGAGTTGAAAGAATTCCATAGTGTATTCCATCATTAAGTAGAAAGAATGCCTTTTTGAAAAAAATAAAGACGTTTGACATAGCTGCTTTAATATTAGTTTACGACTTCAGTTGTCTTTATTCCTTTAATTCTGTTGACAACATGTGTTCAACATACATACACTGTGCACCGCCTCGAAAAAGGAGAAAAAATTACATACCGACATAATCACGTTGTTGTTAAATACATCTGTAGGCTGCATCTGATGACTTTGATACGTTTATTACTGCTTTTCATACTATTTCATTATTATTATTATTATTATTATTATTATTACTATTCAAATGAGAAAAAGCACAATTGTTTTTTAAGCTTTAAGAAGACTTTATTTCTTACAGTGTACCAATTCCCTTTTTGTTTTACTTTATATACTTGACTATTCAGCAGTAGAAATTATGTGTACTGGAATAGTGACTGATTTAAAGAGCTATTCTTATCAGAGGAGTTCATTTTACTGATATAACACCCCACTGAATGAGTTCTGAGACCCAGATGTTAATTAAGTCTTAGTTGAATAACTTCAGTCACTAAAGGACAAAATAACAGACATCAGAGGAAAGTCCGAGACATTATGCAGAAACACTGAGGAAATCTGCTTAGAACAACACTGGAACTCTCTGAAAACGTCTCGTGAAATGAAACATGTATTGAAATCTTAGGTAAAAAGAAGAGACAAGACAATGAGTGGCTTTCTACGGAAATCCGGAAGCTAGTAGAGGAGAGGAGGATAGTGAAACAGTAGATCTACTCGTTTAGAGGTGAACAACGAAAGCAACAGTTGAGTACAACCTACAGTGCACTGAACAAAAGAATGAAGAAGAGTGGTAGGAAACACGACGAACAAACCAAGCATTTATCGCTCAACACATATGCAGAATGAAATGGAGACAGACTGAGCATAACACTTAAGAGACCATTGAGTGCCATCCCACACCAGGCCATCAAATGAAACCCAAATAGAAAGCGATGAGTTAGGTGTGGGTCTGAAAGTGATATGGAAGAGATCATGTGAAGAGGAAATGAGAGCTTGTCGGCAATAATCGTGGATTCAGGTTAAAAAAGACAGCAGAGAACGGAGTGAAACAGAAATGTGCTGCCGAAGTCCTATAATCCAATCGAAATCCTAAGAAATGAATAATAATAATATAGAAACATTTCTTTCCTACGTTTATTCAAAATGAATAAAATGTATATCTCAAAATTCTCTGCTTTGGAAAAGCAAAAGACTTTAAAGTGTTATTCACTTGGATTTAATGAGTGTTCTAAATTGAAAAGTGTTTTCAAGTGCCGGTTTGAAGGGATTTAATTGATAATAGGCTTGATCACTAGCTGACATCAGTTAGAGGATCATCGGAAAACTAGATTTCTGGACAATTAAGAGTTAGGACGATTAGTTAAGTTAATATTGCTATTACCATTCATTGTCAAACATGACATTTGAAATGTGTAAGGACAAAACTTGTACAATAAAATATAGAAAATGGAATGTAGTTGTCAAGTGACTTTTACCACTAAATAATAAGTAGAATGTTAAAATGCGAAAAATAAACGGAAAAGTGTAAATAAATCTCAATGTGCGAATACTGTAAGATTTTCTTTTAAAAATAAACCTTGCAGGAAAATCCCCTGGAATATATAATGTTACAATATGCCACAAAAACACTGCAAATAATTCCAGATATGTTGGATTCTCAATGTTCAAACGAATCGAATAATTTTTGGAAATGAAATCACTTATATTTCGTTCAAGTGGTCTATATAGGTTTAAGCAATAAAAAACTTATACTTAACCACTTCGATGGTTCACCAGTAGAATATTCACCAGTCTACCTGGAACATAGAATTTTCAATTCCCAACCAATGCTCCTTTATTCCTCGCCTAGTCGGCAGCAAGCCCCAAGAAGAGGGAAGATTGGAGGTGATTTTAGTAACAATACACCGTAAATACAACGCCACCACTAGAGAAACTTCAAAACTTCAAATCCTATGTTCCATTCGGAACTCACAGGAATGAATAAATGTCTTCTACCGCAGTGTTCAAAATCCACTTTAAAAGTATTTATGATTTTTAAAATTTGCATCATATGCTTATGAGTAAGTTTTAATAGATGGCAAACGTTAACAATTATATTGTCTCGACAGTATTTTATCACCTCCGCTTCTATTTTGTTAATTTTTTTGTGTCTATAGTATTCTGTAGTGTCCCCTAACTCAGCTAAGTCAACACTTTCTTTCCTAACAAAAACCTTCTTACTGATAAAACACTAAAATTTCTCAAAGAACAGCAAATTATCCGAACAAACAAATATGTTTGATGAATATGCATCATTCAGTAATAAGGTTTTAAAAGTATGCGATACGTGATTCTGTTAAAGTTGACTCATTTCAGGAATGTTTACCAACAATAGCTGAAAAGCCTATTCTGCATTCTTCTTCTTCTCTGTCTTCTACTTTTCGTAAAGCAGACACTACTAAAACTGCTTAAAATATCTAATCAGATGTAACACATGACATTTCTTCAGTAACATGTCAAAATTGGTGTTTTTATATGAATAAGAAAACGTATAAAATGCAAACATTGTATGGTTTTTACTTAATTTAGTAGAGGAATGTAGTTGATTGAGTTTACCCAATAAAACAGTAAAAACAAATGGACATAATGCTTAGAGCATAAATGATAGAGAACATTGCACAGAAATTCAGCAATTCAAGTCCCCACACTTTATATATACCAAACAAAGGTGGAGAAAAAATCCAAAAAGAGTAAAATGAACAGAAATGTAGGGGACAAAGAATATTTACATGGGGAAACATAGGGATTTAATGAATCTGGGAGATTGTAAAGGGTGAATGCATCTGTGTCATAGGGGATGATTGTCAGCCATGCCACCAACACTCTCCAGCCATTGGTTCTTAGTGTTTAGAGGAACCCAACCAGGTGGTCTACACCTTCCTATGCTAGTCAAAACAACAACCAAAGACTTCATAGACTGATTCCAAGTTATTATTTGACTACCCCTAAACTCTTTTCCAGATAAATGCTATGTCAGTTAACATTGCTTGGCAGGCCCTATTCATCACAGTCGATGAAGCTTCACAACCTCATCGATTGATTCATCCTCCTTACCTAACACTCTACAACCAATCTCAATATTACTCATCATATTATACTTCTCAATACGGGAGATAGAATATAGATATCTGTGGTCACAGATCACTAGCTTCTTCGTATCTTTCACTTTTAATGGCCATAAAGAAGTTCAAAGTGAATTGCTGCGTAGTACATATGCTGTTTTACAGGTGGCTGGATATCATCTCTACGCTAAAGATAAGGTAAATTAGTAACTGCCACAAAAGTCAAGCTGAGATTCTGTCAGCAATAGCCCATTAGATCCGATGCAATGTCCCAAATATGTGAAATGGTCAATATATTTATAATTAATAAATTTTCAAGTACAATCCGTTATTTTTTAATTATACTACCAGGAAAAACGAACAGACACTAACTTTATTTTGGAAATAAATTAAATTTCTGTAGTTGTTAATTCACCTGCCATGTAACAAGTTCTAGTACATTACACAGGATCTAAACTCAAGCTCTGTTGTACTAGTGATAATATTATTATATATCGATGGTTATATTCAGTCATCATTAACAAATTAGATGAGTTTTACGCAATTAATGCCACTTAACTGTAGTCATAACGATGGGTGCTTTTAATACTCAACAAGTTATCTTGAAAGTATTTTCGAAACCCTGTGTTGAGCACAGTAATTTCATAAAGTTTACTTAGATAGTCAGCTGTTGGGGGTTATCAAAAGGAAGAAAGTTCTTCCACTAAAAGTCATTAACATCAGACTAAAGATGAATACATATAAATCATACCACTGTGATATATTGTAGAAAACAAGACATCTTAAGCATACGTCTGAATTTCAATCAAGCATTCGATTGTGTGTATTCACAACACCACAGTGGCAGGAAACTCTAGGCCCAGATGTCTCTATCGCACACTAACGGTGAAATGTCTACATGTAAAGAAGGTATCTGTCTGAACATTGCAAAAATTAACAGATCTGAATTGATGACAATTACAAGAATATGATAATTTACTGAGTTTTTAAGAATTACGCTTAGAACTCACTGGTCAGAAATAAATGAGGCACTACAAGTCTTTGTAAGAAAGGAATTATTTGAAGACATTTTTATATTTGTTACTCATCTTGGTTCACTTGAAGTGTGAGAAAAAGATTTCGCAGCTTTTCCATCAAAGATATTTTTGTAGTGCTGTTTATTTGTAGGGAAAATGTAGGTGAACATTATAAAGACAGAACTTGTATTGTTAAACTTGGATATCTAAAGAATGTGCAGCCGTGAGGTTATAATGGTTGAGATGGCTAAGATGTCAGCAGGAAATTATTATCAACCCATAATAGGTTGAAAGATTTCCAAGTTAACTTCAATTTTACATTCATACTTGCATTTACAAGCGAAGTAATTAAAGTTAAAAATGCCCATAAAAGTTTTGGCCCGAGAAACTTCTGAAATACTAAACCGGTCAAAAAAACATACAGAGCCACAGATTTTGATAAATTATCTTTTTTTCCGAACTAACATTAGTTTAGTCTAGATTCGTCTTATTGCTCTGAACATTCATCAAAAATTATCAGGTTAAAGTCCATATTTTAGATTACTTGAACTTATCTGACCCATATTTAGGCATGCTACTGTGTATTAGGTTTACCAATAACACACTGATAGTGCTTATATACGTATATATATATATATTTGTGATGAAGCAAAAGGAAACTATAAAGCGTTATAACCATTAGGCTACTTAATCTCATTTAAAAGAAGAAGGTTGTGGGTGTACAGGTAACGCTTACGATGCAAACAGAATTTGTCATTTAACAGTATAGTAAAACTTTACCGAAGGAATGATACGTGCGTTGGCAGTATTTGTCACATATCCAACCATCATTTTAGCATTAGAACATTTTAGTTTAAGTTGCGTGCAGTTGGATATCCACCGATTATTTGCTCAATAAGCGTTTCCTCTTATAAGTAAAATTAATTTTCTCTTACACATTGAGCAATGAATGATGTACAAATTTTTGAAAAGGAATTTCATGAGTAAAAGCGTTTTATATTTCGCTTGATCATCCACGGATATCACTTCTTCAGTATATATATATATGCTGAAATATTTTTATCAATAATTTAATAACCATCTACTAGGTATTTTAAAAAAAGTACACACATAACTTTACCATTCATGGTTATACTCATAAATATAAAATTATTATGTTCAATGAAATCCCTAAGAACTGAAGTCAGAGTGATATTCACACCGTCACAGTTATTTAACTATGTTGAATTTATTAATGTAGAACCAATTATCCAATTATTTTTCTGAAGGGTATACTAAACTTAATAAATGAAAAACAGCACGTTTGAAAAATGTCTTTCAGTCGAAGTGAGATCCCGAGTGGAACTTGAATGCAAAACGTCGAGTTGGGTATCCGAGGGCGACATGGAAGAAATTATAAGAAGAGAAAGTGAAAACTTGTAGACACTTGTGGAGCCAGCCAAAAAAGGTATCAGAGAACAAAGTGAAATAAAAATGTGCCGCTGAAATCTTATGTTCTACTCGGAACTCAAGGGAATAATAGTAGCGACAACTATTTATGACGGATTATATATGACTTGTATTGCAGAGACTTCCATGCTCTTAACTAATGAAGATCGATTATTTAGAAGTTAGTGACTGAATCAGTAGTACACTATTATTTATGGTACAAAATATTAAAGAAATCGTATAACAGTTTATGCACATCTAGAAATGTTAAGAGAAAAATAAATAGGATAGAAGCATGATTTTTACACAATGAGTTTAACTATCATTCAAGCAAACAATAAGAGCGATTGCCAAATATGTTGGTACAACGTAAGCGGCAGAATGACATTAATGCTATAATTCGAAGATCCACGTTATACCAATCCTCCTCCATTCTATGGAGTTTTCGATCACATTTTCTACAAAACTGTGTTTCCGACTTCTTATCAGAGTGAGTATATAACCTTAAATAACTTGCTAATACATATTAAACTATACATTTTCATGTACCATCCAATTTCTGCGCAAACAGACTATATTTAGACAGGAACTTGAAATAGCCTGCATCCTTACTTGGATTATTTTTTGCAAAGTGAAATCATCATAAGTAATCTATTTAGAGTTATTTTGTAACTAGCATACACATGCCTGGATTAAAGAATACAGTCACTTTGACAAGATCAGAAAACATTTGCTTCTTTTAGTAAAATCCTGTATTTTTTCATCAGTTACATATCTAGTCTGTGTCAATATATTACTTTATTTTGTAAAAGCATATCACTGCTATTAACTAGTGATTTGCAGTGCACGACACTTCTAGAAGAGGTAGCTTTACTTCAGACTTTAAATTAGGAGTTTATCCTCCTGTTGGCATTTCCAATTAAGTAGTGTAGAAGCCTGCCAACAGTTAAAGCGACACGTAACTTATTGTATATAAAGGGCTCTTTGTTCCCTATATATCTAGTTAAAGGTGAGAATAATAATCAGCCTGTTGATTGAATGTCTTATACAGTTTTTGTGCCAATTGTTATCGAAAATAACTTCAAGTTTAATTTCTCTTCTTTTGTTTATGGAAAGCATACTGGTGTTCTTCAAAGTCATCATTACTAGAATTTAAAGAATTTATCAGAGGTACTTTAGTAAAGGACACCTGGTATAGTTGATCACCAAACTAAATTCATCCTCAGGAGCACACCAGTTACCGGTTGTCATATAATAATTAATATTATGGATTACTAAATCATAAATCCAAATATTACATCAGTTGACAGCTTTTACAATCCGATTATTTCCAAAATGCTGACAACAGACTTGGACGGAAATTCTGAGGAGGGAGCTGTAAGCCAAGCTGCTGCTTTGAATTATAACATTTTCAACAACCATATGAATATCTTGGAGCAAAAATGAATATTAGTTTACTAATGTGAAATAACCATGTGTATTGGTGGAATATTTTATATTATAGACTACTATATATATATATATATATATAGTCGGCCAAATGGGGCCAGACGCTCAGATTACAAAAAGATGCAAGCTTGCCGTTTACTGATATGGACCTTTACGATTAAATCAAGGACGATATTACATTTCTTGAGATCAAGGCTTGAGTATCAAGATTGAAATGATAATACAAGGTCTGCTAGTCCAGGAGTGTATGAAAATGAATCGTACTTAGGATTTATAACGTACATACCATCCAACTCACAAAATCGTTCGATCTGTGAGGAAAAAAATATTCACAGTAGATTAATATTCAGATTTTCTGCATAAATCCTCAAAAAAGACAGAGTTTTAATCCAAACCAAAGCATTATATGTATCTGTAACACGTTACCAAAAATAAATGTAAACAATCATAAATGAATTGAATATCTTACTTTATTTAATTTAAGCAAAACACATGGTGTCCCTTTACTGTAACCATAGTTATTTTTAGTGTTGCAGGGTCCTAAGTTTTCGAGAGAAAATTTGCAAACTTTGTCAACATCTTTTGTATCACCATCTTTGCCTTTACAACTTGCAAATTGACTATCAGGTTTTGCATTTACGTCTCTATACGTTTGCAAAAAAGCATCTATATTATCCACATGAGGTAAATAGGTCTGAGGATCACCAGTAGAAAATTTGATCATTGACTTCTGGACTTCTACAGTTGGGCGGAGACCCAAACCTGTTGATATAAAAAGATGAGTAGAACAAATATCTGTATTTACCTGGTTTGAAGTCCAGCAAACTTTGCTTTCCGGTGCGAGCGGGGTGATCTTCCGGAACGTTGAAATACAAAACAAGCCACAGCAAACCAGTGAAAAATGTTGCCAGGCAGGCATAATAGACAGCGTAGAACAAAAGACACAGAACTAAACAATATAAACGAACGAAGAGAAAACGTACCCCAGCTCTTTCCAGTACGGCCAAAGAGTGTCTTACTCTTGGAATCATATATCCACGATGGAATACGATGCCGCGACATGTACGACAAGGTGGACAAATTGTCCGAGAATTCTTGCATTGACATTTGCGAAACTTTTTATTCAGTGCACTATAAAAACAACCTTGAAATGGCGAAGTACATGAAAACTTGATTCATAAAAACAAAAAACGATAAACTTTGGGCTTTTTTACTACTTTGGAAAATAATACGTTAAATTTGCATAACAGAAGCCACTATCAACTTACAGAATAACGTCGAGATGGCCGATAATGTCACTAGTAATTATTAGTATGCATGTTTTTGCTTTCATATTTTGTTGGTAGTCTAGTCTAGCAATTTTGCGGATTAAGAATAAGATAAACAATGGTTTGGGACTACGGCGATAACTCAGACTAACAGTAGATTCATATTAGGGTCAGGAACTTACTGTAGACGGCAGTAGTCCCACAAGGTAATTTAAATATTTCAGTCTACAATGTATCGAAAAACTTGAGATGTTATACTGTTTGACACTCGGCTAGATTGTTCAGGGACATCGGATTTTGTGAGTGACCTACTAAACATGCGAGCAAATATATTTTCGACTCTTAAGAAGGGAAGGGTATTTTTGGCTGAGTGAAAAATATGAGATACATGTAAAACGCAGACAATGAAATTTTCAGGTTGATCCAGGTAATTTGAGTATTACTAGAATCAAAATCATAAGACTTCTTCTGTACTTAGCTGGCAGCAGCGAAATTTATTATTTTCTATGAATAACACTGCTTTGTATACCTTGTCTAATGGTACTCACCAGTATAAGTGTCAAAGCTCCAGAAGTAAGTAATAGAATTGGGTTTGTTTTCTTGAAACTTATGGGTACATAGTGGACACCTTAAGCATCGTGTAAACTTCGGTTATCGTCTGCAGTCATCTGTATTATGCTATTCAAAATGAATGTGTATTGAAACTCTTAAGATGACACCTGTTAACATTTATATGAGAAAAGCGTGTTTCATTTTCAGCTTTGTGCGAAACAATTTTAACTCAACCGGAGTTTATCGCCCGGGTAAATACATGACTAGATTATGTGAAGGTTGGCGTAATAATTAACCGCGAAGATGGAAGAACAACCGATTGCGCAAAAGGACAACTCCTGAAAGGTGAAATTTAGGCACAGATATGTAAAAGATTTTCATAGTGTAATTTAGAACAAAACATGAAGGTGGGAAATCCTGTTTTAAATTAGACCCTTCTAGGCTTTACTTGAAAGGATGCGGTGATCCATGTAGAATTCTCCAGTTCAGACTGTTAAGTGGCTTCTATAGATTTGATGGGATAACACAAACCATCGGTTAACTCTAACTTGTTTTAACCCAGCCCCGACAAGGAATTTTCCGTGACACTGTGAGTAAGTTTAATTAATGTGAATAAAATATTATTATTAGTCATCTGACAAATATAATCGCCCCCACCTGGACATCTGGTCTACGATTTCTTTGATCTTAGCCTAGAAAGTAACAGAAACGTTGGCTGCATAAGATTAGCTCCAAGTTTCCGGTTGTATTTAGCGTTATTTTCTATGTTCAAATTGAATCTGTTATTTATTTCGCACAACTTTCCTTGTAGTCCCGTATCTTTAACCATAAACATTGATAAATAATAACTTTTGTTAATCAAGGGAAAAAGCCACAAACTTAATTATCTCTTAACCTGAAAACTAGTACTGAACCTCTGCTGGCTATAATGAGCAATATCCCACACTCAGGCAGCAGTAGCACTGAGTCACTTAGACCATTGGCCCATCATAGGCACCAACCTTTGTTAAAACCATCTACAGATGTTGTAGCCCAAATAATTATATACTGATGACTAGTAGTTTTGTTACGCCCAAAAGTGTAGCACCCGACATCTATATTGGCTCACTCACCACACCTTATATTCTGTCGTTAAACTTCAATCACGAAGCTCACTGTCGACGCTTTCTCCAAAAATAGAGCGACTGAAGTCATCTGTTGATAAACTGAAGAACTAAATTCGCAAAGTAAAATTTTTGGTGCTAATAGATGTAGTATATTTAAAAACCATGGCAGAGCTTTCTAAAATATTAACACAGATTTGCAAAATTAGGTCATCAGTCCTCTAGCTAATACCCCATGATAAACTGAGTGCAACAAAATCTTTCAGTGGTAATTAAGGTGGACAATCTTATAAATTTATCACTACAGAATTCAATGAAGCAACAGACACAAAACTGATTGGGATCGTTTACAGCATAACTGAACTCAGAGAATGAAAATAGTGCGAGACATCTTGCTTAACGAGGGAAATGCAGAATTCGTGAACAAAGTGGTACAAACTGTAAAAGGGTCAGTGAGACTTCTGCTGACGTATAAGCCGGTAATTTCAAATACAGCCAGAGGCTTAAAAATTGATCAACTCACAACATATTCTATCAAATATACAAAAGTAGCAGTAGGTAAGGCGTTGTTAGAAACTTTAACGGTGAGAAGAATGAGAACATTGCATGTAATTATAACACAGAACCCCTCTTTGCATATGACAGGACTCTGGCATCATCGCTGTCGAACGCTTCAAACCACCCTTATATAATAAAACACTAATCAAGGGGTTATTAGATGCTTGCCACATATTTAATACACATCGAATTCCTAGTGCTGTGAGACTATATATGTGCATGAATAACCGTAAAACAAAGATCTGTGCTCCTCAAAAGCCCACTTTATCCTCACTAATCTCTAAAGCAAGCATAAAGAGGACTTCAGAAACAAACCAAGGTGAAGCACGCTGTTCGAATTCTCAAATCCTCTACACTCAAGGAACCTACCTGAGTAGAAAGTTTGCTGGAGAATGGAGCGGACAGATTGTCACAACAACAATCTCACTGATGTAGTAAGTAAGTGCAGAAATATCACATCTGCACTTAACGCCATAACTAGACAAGTTACACCTTAAATAACACTAACAACTGACGTCACAGCAGCACCTTCCTGAATGGCGCAAGTGACAACGCCCACAATCCGGTCACCTATATATGACGTTCATCAAGAAATAATGTAGGAACAAACTTTGAATGTCTGCGTGGTACAGCACTTCTGGGAAACAAACCATGAAACCGCACTATACACAATGAAGCTCATATCGGGACACGCTCACCGCCTTTAAGCAATAAGTGAAGTGAGTAGCAACGAGCATTATCAAGTATGGATGATTTTTCACCAGCCAAACCCATATCGGGGTTAACCAAGCGGCTGCTGCGGATGTTAGCTCTTCTCAGTTTGATCCACCAGTGCTAGCCATCCCACGGGAAGAAAAACGACAAGATAATACTTACACATTTGTCGGATGTATTAGGCGTGTATCATAATATAGACCTAACAAAAATGTCTAGCAATATCACCAGAATACAAAAATTTTGTACTGGATGAAAGAAATTCGTAAATTTAATTGAATCTCGGCCAGTTAGCCTTCAACTGTCAGTTTACTTGTCTGAACCGACTGAATCACGTTGTGGACACCTGGTTTCTCGATGGACAAGACCGGGATTCCTGTGATGGACAGACTGCTCAGAAAATCCCTCACGGACCACATATTTTTGATGTCTTGGCTTATTTAAACATTTCAACTAATTTTGTGATAATTATGCTTTTCTCCCCTGGACTATTTACCACGAATTTGACATTCGCATATCACATGTTGATTTTTGACCCCTATCATTCGCTGAAATTTACTCTTTTCATTCACACTCTTCGCTCGCATAAAATCCGGTTGCTCTGATGAAGTAAAAACATAACAACAACACCCATGTTCGAGAATAACTATACTTTCATCTAAAAAGTCATGGTTTTTCATGGCAAGACTAATATGGTTAGCATGTTCAACAAATTCAAACAATAATTGTGCCTAGGATTATGCCACATAAACTGTTTTAACTTATGCAGAGTGTACTTACGGTCAACATTTCATTATCTTCCCTTGTATATATATTTTGTGTTAGTGAAAAATTTTAAACATTTTTACTCCGTGTGTGCATTATTATCATATTGTTGATGCCTGTCAACTGGAGTCCCTCATGTGCATAAAGTGGGTATATTTTTGTAAGACGCATTTTATTGTTTTATGAGGGAATTGACTTCAAGCTTTATTTATTTTCCCAAGTATATGTAATCCATCCAACGCATACTCGGGTTTTTTTTGTTAATGCGAAGTCAATATCTCTATATTTCTTGGTGTGTTCCATTGAATCACCAGTTATCCGATTTTCCCCACAAACTAAAGATAAAATGACAATAACCATGTTATTTAACCGTAAATCCTGTAATTTAAATATGTAACTTAAATAATTCTTATCCATTCCTATACAACTTGTGTGTCCTATATTTGAATGAATAAATATGTACCTTATTATATTATCATTACTAACTATACTTATTATCACTTATTAATCGTATGTGTAATTTATCGAATTGATGATGCCTGTAAACTGGCGTCCCTCATGTAAAAAATGAGAATATACTATTATTATTATCATGCATTGCAAATGTGTATTACCATTTCAAGTACTCTATGGCTCCTTCTTGTATTTATCTTATAAATGTACTTCAAATGATGTATCATTCATAATTGCATCTTATACCATTTTGCAGCTGCCCAGGATGTACTTGTGTTCCTGAAAAAGCGTTCAATCACGTGGGGTCATATCACTCACTCAAACAGATGCTGTTTATCGATTGGCCATAACAATCATCAGAAAATGGAGCGAAGTTTGGGTTGTCTCTCAACTGTGATGGTAACCTTAATGAAGAGTCTACAGTTTAACATTATTAAAAACCTGTGCTGATGGCTTGTATTATATTCCAACAATTGTAACTTTTGAAAAAGTGCCAATCTATGCTAATTCACAACTGTAATTTGTGACATAATTGATCGTGCCTGTAAAAATGGCATGCACTTCATGTAAGCTTATCTGTTTATATTAAATACATAGATGTTATTATGACCTGGAACACTTTCAGAATGCAGTCCATAAAGAACTAGATAGAATTTCTACACGGTCCTCCTTATGGTAGCTACACTTTTACTTGGATAAGTTTGGTTGAATTTGCTTTGTAGCTCCCTCAGTAGACACTATATTGGTGGATAAATCCGTCGCTCTACCTGGACTCCAAAGTTTTAGTTATCTGGGACTGAAGCACCCCAGTAACCCAACATTTTCCGAGCAAGTCCCGCCATTAAATCGCAGATCCAGTGTGCAATTAGGTTGCACGCTCAAGAACTTCCACAACTATGAAGTCAAAATCCTCATGTACAAAACATGTGTAGGAGCTCCATCAAAATACCACCCGTTTATTCTTGGTGACACGATTACATGCAAACACACTCGCAGTGTTCATCTCCTCAGTCACC